ACGGAGAAATGTGGTCAGTTTTACGCTATCTTTTTACATGATTATTTTTAGGTTGTATTTGTTGCCGATATTATTTCAGTCATATTAACAAAATGTAATAAAATCAGTTTAGGTATGAACTCATTATTTATTGTAACAGCTATGCAAATACGGTGGTGAAATAACAAACAATGACTTGACTTGTTGCACAAGTAACCTCCTTCACAGCGAGTATTTATAAGTATTTGGGAACTTCTGTTAGGTAATTTTAACAATATTTAAGTTGTATGATTTGCATATTCTACAAATAGTAGATTAGAAAAATATAAAAATACCAAAATTTAGACACAAATAAATAATTTTTAGTCTTGTAGACTGTAGACTCGGTAAAATGCCTTACGATCTGGGGCTGCTAAGGTCAAAGGTCATTTGAATTTAACAATGATCATTCCTTATGTAAAGATTTTAACACAGTGGTTGCTATAAGTGACTACAACTTTATCATCATCAGTAATTGCTATACCTCTAGGGCTTTCTAATACATCACTACCACTAGCAATATTGGTTATAAATTCACCTTTACTATTAAACATCTGCACTTCATGATTGATACCATCACATAATAAATATTATCATTCTAATCAGTAGTAACTCCACAGGGGCCTTCAAACTCATCATTTGGACAACCACTGAATGCAAACATAAATACACCATCAGATGTGAGAACCTGAATACGATGGTTCCGTGCATCTGAAACTATTAGACATCCCTTGCTATTAATACCTATGAACTGTGGGTATTTGAACTGACATGACCCTTGACCCTCACTACCAACTGACTTAATATACTTGTAACCTATTATTTCATATAATCTTATACAATGTGCATCACTATCAACCACATATACAATGCCATTATTATGGTTGATAGCAATTCCACGTGGACTCTGTAATTCTTTTCCACCAAAACACTTTATAACCTTCCCATATTGATTACATACAATCACCTGATTATTTCCTTCATATTGTGCCACTGGCCTATCTGTAATGAAGTATGTATTATCTACTGCTACTGCTACATCTATGGGTCTGACTGGTTTACTATACACATGTATTCTGTAAATTGTAACTGTGACTTTGGTGTACCATAGATATCTATAATCTGAACTCTCCCATTCCTATTATCAGCCACCACAATATCACCACATGTATTGATACTCACTCCAAGCGGGTAATCAAACATCCCTGGTTCCCTGCCTCGTCGCCCTATGATTTTCTTTAATTCCATTGGTGCATTTATAACATGTGATGATTCTTGTGTTGCTGATATGAATGTGAGACAGAATCTACCTTCATAGACTGAAATCTTCCCAGCATGCCTTGCAGTGTGATGTCACCAGGATAAAACTGTGGAAGTGAATTATTTTTATCATTCCATGTTGTATCAAGTGACATCAGAGTTTCCAGTTGATTTGTTGTTTCTTTACTAGTTTTCATCAGCTGTGCAGCACTGCTATATTGTAATAAATTGTTTATAAACGTTATTGTACTTGTCAGTAGTTCCTCAGTTGTTTCATACTGGTGCATTTGTCTGTTAATCTCTTCATTCATTCTGTCATAATCAGTTTTTAATTTAGTCAAGTGACTGCTTTCTTCCTGTTTTATTATTTTTATCAATTTCTCAATAGTTTCTTGTGAATGTTTCGTTATTTGTTGTTTTCGATGCAAATGTTGTTTTTTTAATTCTTCTGATTGTTTAGTGGCACTTGTTTTGCTTTGTTTTACTTCACTTTGTTTTGCTTTCAAGAGTTGTATGTGATCTGTTGTCATCTTACAAAATCTATCTGCAGTCCCCTGCAAATCAATCACTGTATGACCTTTGTGATTTGACCTCAAACATAAATGACAGATTGGTATTTGGCATTTCTCACAGTAAAGTTCAATAAATTTGTTCATATGAGAAGTGCAGTAAACTGCAGGCAAGACTATCGATTTGTCACTTAACTTGGCCTTTTTAAACTCCTCGATATTCATAATACGATGATGTTGACTTACTGGCATTTTTCTGTGAGCGTTGGTGCATGATGTACACAAATCCATAGCACAGTCTACACACCTGTTTGTTGATGGATTTCCCAAACAACCATGGCATGTCCCATGACATGGCTGTATTTCGTGTTCTTTAATAATGTCTATGACAGAATTAATTATCATACTTGACGGAAGTTCTAGAATATTACTCACGGAATGACGTTGTCTGCAGTTGGGGCATTTAATCGTGTCACGTGTTCCCTTCAACTTCACCAAACACTACTCACAGAAGGAATGATGACAAGGTAAAGTCTTTGGATTCTTGTAACGCTCCAAACAAACAGGGCATGTCAGTAGATCTTCGTCAATCTCGTCGACGACAGATCGTTTATTTACCATAGATCGTCGATGTGGTTCAAATCTCTCTTGATCGACGACCGTTTGGTGTACGTTGCCGGCTCCCATAATGATGAAGCTACGTAAGTAACACGTAGAAAAAAAATCAACGATAATAATATGTTAGATACGTGAAAAAAACTTCAAATACCAGTCACAACGTAGAGCGTGGAACCGAACCACAGTAATTCGTGGCGCAATATACATTCAGTAACTAGGACAATATAATCAACAACAAACGAACTGAAATCGGAAACGGTCTGAGGTCAACGGGGTCACAGTATATGTAAATCAATATACTTTCTGTCTTCCAAAAAAAGTGGAAGCGACGTTTAATGGTAATCGCTTCAGATCTTCAGATGGTAGACGTACCCATGATTCCAAACAAATGAAAGACGAAAACATCTTGGTATGTTCTCTAAAAACATCATCCAATAGTTCGCGATACTGAATAAAGGATGAAAATATTGCGATTGTGACAAAGGGACTCCATAAAATACTGGTAGTATATATTTTTTTATATCCACCAGACTACAAACTTCTCATGTATGTGACATAGGGTACACGTGAAATGTTACTTTTAAAAAAGTACTTAATTATAATTTAGATTCGAATAGGCTGGTCTCTGTTTCCCACTAAAAGTAATTATGAATAAATCTACAAACAATGATTTTTAATAAACAGAAAATATGCCTTATTTGAATTGTGTGAATAGGCTTTTGGTCAACTCGACCCCAGTTAACTCGGCCCCAAGTCAACTCGACCCTTATATAAGTCTACACTTATTGTCCATATAGTGTCGGTGACACACTGCGTTGTCGATTTCACCGACGCTTGCGCGCTATCCTCGTGTGTGCTATGGTTAATGGCCAGTACGTTGTAGATTTCTTACGCTATACCTACGTGGGTGGCCCAACATACACCACAGCAAGCGAACAAATAACATGGTGTATATCCTAGCAGCTTCATAATCGTGTGCGTGATGATCGTGCAAAGGAAATTGTCAAAAATTGTACACAAGTTTTCAAGAAAGTTCATGATTTAAATTGTCCCATAACTTGGGGTCGAGTTGACCTGCTACCGTGTGGGCGTACGTGTATTTAACTCTTCTAGTACCACGCCCTCATGTGTTGGCCAGTGTGACTTGGCGTAGTGTATATGATTCAATTTTTTTTATAATTAGCAAATCAGTGTCTCAGAGTAAAATAAAACTCCACAAGGCGGTTACAGACATGATTTTAACAGGCATACAGGGTAACTAAAAACGTGGATAAATTTTAAGGCGTAAATTGTGTATACCACGTGATATACAACGCAGACATAATCAAGACGTGTGCCACATATATATATTCTTTGTCTAATTAAGATCGAATATCGTCCTGATATGCTATGAGTATACTAGTATATATATATATATATATATATATATATATAT